AACCCAGGCATGTGCCCCAACTGGGGATTGAACCAGGTGACCCTTGGGTTGGCAAGCTGGCACTTGGTCCACTGGGCCACACCAGCCAGGGCAGATTTCATTGCATTTTTAATGAAGGGGGACAGAAATAAAGATAATACATTAAGACAATTGAAAGAGTCCACTTTTAGGCTTCTTCCATTTCTTATTTAAGAACATATTTATATAGATTTATTGCTTGGAGCAAAACCTTTATTCCATAATTATTTTAGCTATTATTTGATTGCTCAAAGTTTGTTCTCTACAAGATTTTATAAAGTATTTATTTATAGGCATGCATTTTAGAGAGAAGTGAAAGGAGAGATGAAGAGGAGAGAGAGACATCAAGGTGAGAGAGAAACATCAATTGGTTGTCTTTCATGTGCACCCCGACTGCAACCTAGGAATCAAACTGGTGTTTTTCTGCTTTGTGGGATGATGCCTGAAACTACACTAGGCAGGACTCTCTACAAGAAGGTCACATTTTTGTGATTGTTTGGTTCACAGGCTGCTATTCAATCCGCTGAACCACACCATACAGGGCATTTATTATATTTTTTTAAAAATTTCATTTCTGCCCTGGCTGGTGTGGCTCAGTGGATTGAGCGCGGGCCTGTGAACCAAAGTATCGTGGTTTGATTCCCAGTCAGGGCACATGCCTGGGTTGCAGGCCAGTTCCCAGCAGGGGACGCACAAGAAGCAACCATATATTAATATTTCTCTCCCTCTCTCCTTCCCTTCACCTCTAAGGATAAATAAATAAAATCTTACATCAATCATTTTTCCTATACTGTATAATCTGCCACTTACTCAATCTTACATTATAGCTTATAAATTTAATAAAAAAATATACATTCTAAATATTACTACTTAACACCTGGAATGCAGTTATATAAATTGTTTTCTTGTCCTTGTGTGCTAATGCTTTTATCTGCATCAGTTCTCGTTAAGTTTTTCTTGTCATTATAGGTTGACATTTTCCTGATCTTTTGCCTGCCTGGTAAACTTTGACTGGATATTTGGGTGCTGTATATACCTGTAGTCCTGTAAATATTCTTGAACTTTGTTTTTGGACACAGTTACTTTGGAACCTCAGAACAGATCCCTCTGGGTCTTGTTTTTAAGATTTTAGGTGGGCCCCAACAAATCTGTTAGATTAAGATTTGTGAGACTATAGCAGCATGCAGTCTAGGGGTAATTATTTCCTATCACTGAGACAAGACTCCTAAGTCTTCTACTCAACATCCTGTCAATCACAAGGTTCTCCACTAGGGCTGACAGAGACAGACACTACTCCCAACCCTGTGTGAGCAGCAGGCACCATTTTCTCCAATCGTAGCAGATGGATACATCCTGGTCCTGGGTAGACTATTCACACAGGTATGCCGATCTCTGCTGAATGCTCAATGGGGATTTTCCACAAATCCTGGGTCTTGTCTCTGCAAAGGTTTCTCCACTCCTGTACTGTGTCTTGTGAATTCCAGCTGCCGGGGTCGCCCCAGACTCTCACATCCACGGCCTCAACTCAAGGAGTCCCTGTGCCTTACCTGGATTGTCCCTCCCTGTGCATGGCCTGTAAACTCTCAAGACATTAAGCTGGAACAATTGTAGGGCTCACCTCATGCCTTCCCTGTTTTTAGATATCATTTTTCTTCATAGTTTGATCTCCAAGTGTCTTGAAAACCACTGTTTCATATATTCCTGTAGAAGGGTTAATCTGGTTCCTATTATTCCATCTTGACAGGAAGTAGAAGTTCCTGTTTGCTAAGTTTCCACCAATTACATACACAGTGCCAATACTCAAGTCTCAGTTTTCATCTTACTTGACTTAATTGTAGTTTCTGACAAGCTGATATTTCCATCACTTTTTGGATGTAGATTCCAGGGCATATGTTTATTTGGTTTTATCTACCTCTCTGGCCATACCTTTTCAGTATCCTAGACTGACACATAACTCTGTCATGAAATGTCTCAGGGTGTAAACTGAATCTCCTCTATGGTCTGTCTATGCCCATTGGATCTGGTGATCCTATGTAGTCTCATAGCTTTATAATAAGTCTCAATGTTATGTCTCTGGCCTGGATCCCAGACTTGCATACCCAACAGCCTATTCAATATACCCACTTAGATATCTTCATAGGCATCTTGACAAGTCTAAATAAAACATGTTAACATGTTATCTCCTGACCTCCCACCTGCCACCCCATCCAACCCCTCTACCTGTACCCTTCTGCATTTCAGTTCAGGTGAACTGAGTTCAACTTCATTTTTTCAGTTGCTTAGGCCCAATTCCTGTGGTCATCTCTCTCTCACTCATGTAGGTTCCCCTTTCAAAATACATCCAGAATCCAGAATTCCTTTTCCCACCCCCACTGACCTCATCCTAGTCTAAGCTACCATCTTTTCTTGTCTGGATTATTGCAATACTCTCCTAATTGTTCTGCTTTTGCCTTTATCTCACTTGAGTCTAAAACCATATCACTTTTCTGCTCAAAACTGTCCATTGGTTCCCCATCTTACTTAGAGGCCTAATAACACACAACACAGTGCGGCCTCATTTCTTTACTATCTACCTTTTTTTCTCTTGCTATGTGTTCACTGACTGCGAACTATGCTGGAACCACCAACTTTTTTTTTTTAACCCATCAGGAGTGCTCCTGCTTTAGAGCTGTTGTATATGCTGTTCCTTCTGATTAGAATGTTCCTCCTTTTGGTAACTCAGTATCATCACTCTCTTACTTCCCCTGTTCAAATGTCAACTCTGTAAAGCTCTCCTCAAAGCACTTTTGAAAATGAACTCAACTTCTGACTTCCTGCCTACCAGTCCCAGTACTTGAGTCCGTCATCATTTAATATACTACATATGATTCTTACTGTTTATTGCTTCTCTCCTTCTACAAGTACAAAAATTACGTTGGTTCTTTTAGAATGCCTTGAACAGTGCCTAACAGAGCAGATCTTTGAGTTAATATTTACTGAACAAATCAATAAAATTAGAAGGTTTTAGCTCTGCGTGGCCTGGCTCAGTTGGCTGGGAGTCGTCCTGCAAGGCACATGCCTGGGTTGCGGGTTTGGTCCTGGTTAGGGCGTGTATGAGAGGCAACCAATTGATGATGTTCTCCCTCCCATCCCCTCTCTCTAGAAATGGATAGATCCAATCTTTAAAAAAAAAATTAGGTTTAAAAAATCATTCTGAAAAGTGTTCTAAAATTCACTATCTCTATAAAAGTACTTTAATTGCTTACCTGAACTGCAATTTTTGCAAGAAGATAAAAAGCATCCAGGAAAAACAATTAAAATTCATGTCATCCACATAGAGAATCTCTTATACATACCTGTCACCTTGGCCTCAGGAGCCCATTTAATAGTGTGTCCCACTTACTTGGAAAAAAATTTCTTTTAAATTTCTGGCAATTAATTGTAGTCATATACAGCAATTTAAAATCATCCTTTTATTTATTTTTTAAAAGGTTTTATTTATTTATTTTTAGAGAAAGGAAAAGGGAAGGAGAAAGAGAGGGAGAGAAATATCAATGCGTGGTTGCATCTTGCACGCCCCCTACTAGGGACCTGGCCTGCAACCCAGGCATGTGTCCTGACTGGGAATTAAACTGGTGACCCTTTGGTTCTTGGCCTGCACTCAATCCACTGAGTTACCACAGCCAGGGCTACAATCACCCTTTTAAAGTGTACAACTCAGTGGACTGAGTTATAGTGTGGATGGCTGTGAGTTCAATGTTAGTCAGTCAACAATATATGCTAAGTAGTGTGTCTTGAAACAGAAACGCACATAAAGCAAGGTTGACAAAAATGCTGTGATCAGAGGCTTACAAAAACCTAACCATGTCTCTCTCCTAGACACAATGGTTCAGCATTCATTGTCAGGGTTTGCAGCTTTACAGAACTAAACTACCATAAGAATCAAATACAAATGGAATCATACAATGTGATTTTAGTGTTTGACTTCTTTCACTTAGCATAATGTTGTCACAGTTCAATGTTGTATGTATCTGTACTTCATTCCTTTTATCTTGGCTAAAAAAGATTTCATTGCATGGATATACCACTTTTGTTTATTCATTCATCAATGATAAGACATTTGGGCTGTTTCTACATTTTGATTATTATAAATAATGCTGCAACAAACATTTGTAGATGAGTTTTAGTGTGGATATATGCTTTTAATTTTCTTGGATATATACCTCACACTGGAATTGCTAGGTCAACTCAATGCTAACTTTTAGAGGAACTGTCAAATTGTTTTTCAAAGTGCCACACGCACCACTGTACCACCTTTCCAGTTAAGAGTTCCAATTTCCCCAGTCTCACAATACTACCGTTTATCTTTCTGATTACCGTCATTCTCGTAGGTGTGAAGTGGTATGGCATTGAGCCATATATGATAATTTAAAAGTAGAAACAGCAGGAAAAAAAAGATAAACAAAAGGCAGGAAGTTAGAAAGCAGGGAAAAGAGGGAAGGGAGAAAGGGAGGAACCCTGAAACTCTCTCTCTACCCTCTGCGGCTGAATATTCAATTGTTTAAAGTTGACTGACTGTACCTGTATCTTAGGACCCTTACTCTCGTTTGAATACAGGCTTTAACATTGCCATTTGCCTAACTTTAACAAGTGATCTTGCTTTCCTCTTCTCTGTACCTAGTACTACCAGGGGCCAAGGTTCAAAATTAATAACCTGAAGGATGTATCTAGGGACCCTTAACTATCTGGAAAAGTGAGAAAATCCTTACTTATTGTGTCAAATTAGAAAGCATTCAACTTACTAAAAAATCTACAAACTCTTTACCTAACACATTCAACTCACCCCAGAAGCAAATGATTTTTAGATGCTGAATGAGGAAAATGACTAGGCTTTTATCAACTTTGCATCCTAAATTCTTGACCAGTGTTTGGTATAAGCAGGTACCACATAAATGTTTTAAAGAAAAGTATTTTTCTTAAGATAAGGCTGGTGTTTGTCTTACCCTCAAGGGATTTTCATTGAGGTATGGAGGCTCCCCTTCTACCATCTCAATAGCCATGATACCCAAAGACCATATGTCCACTTTGGGGCCATAAGCTTTCCGTGTAACCACCTCTGGTGCCATCCAGTATGGCGTGCCGACCATGGTGCTTCGCTTGCTCTGCTCAGGAGTGATCTGGGCACAGAAACCAAAATCAGCTAAAAAATAAAATAAAATAAAAAACATCTAGAGTTAATGGTATCCATGGATGTTTTTATCTAGAGTTCACTTTATTTTTTTAAATTATTTTATTTTATTGATGATGCCACTAGTTGTTCTATTTCCCCCCTTCATCCTGCACACCCCTCCCCCACCATTCCCCCCTTTAGTTTATGACCATGTGTCTCAAGTTCTTTAGATTCTATATTTCCCATACTAGTCTTGCCCCTCCTATCTATTTTCTACCTACCATCTATGCTACTTATTTTCTGTACCTTCTCCCCCATTCTCCTCCTCCCACTCCCCTGTTGCTAACCTTCCATGAGATCTTCATTTCTATGTTTCTGCTCCTAATCTAGCTGTCCTTTTAGTTTGCTTTTGTTTTAGGTGTGGTTCTTAATAACTGTGAGTTTGTTGTCCTTTCAGTGTTCATGTTTCTTTAACTTCTTTTTCTTAGATAAGTCCCTTTAACATTTCATATAATAAGGGCTTGGTGATGATGAACTCCTTGAATTTGATCTTATCTGAGAAGCACTTTATCTGTCCTTCCATTCTAAATGAAAATTTTGCTGGATAGAGTAATCCTGGTTGTAGGTCTTTGAATTTCATGACTTGGAATACCTCTTTCCAGCCCCTTCTTGCCTGTAAGGTCTCTTTTGAGAAATCAGCTGACAGTCTGATGGGGACTCCTTTGTAGATGACTGTCCCCTTATCTCTTGCTGCTTCTAGGATTCTCTCCTTCATTTTAATCTTGGCTAATGTAATGATGATGTGCCTTGGTGTGTTTCTTCTTGGGTCCAACTTCTTTGGGACTCTCTGAGCTTCCTGGATTTCCTGGAAGTCTATTGCCTTTGCCAGACTGGGGAAATTCTCTTTTATTATTTGTTCAAATAAGTGTTCCGCTCGTGGCTGTTCCTCTTCCCCTTCTGGTACCCCTATAATTCGGATGTTGGAGCGTTTAAAGATGTCCTGGAGGCTCCTAAGTCTCTCCTCATTTTCTTGAATTCTTGTTTCTTTATATTTTCCTGTTTGGCCATTTTTTTCTTCCTTCTGGTTCATTCCCTTGATTTGAGTCCCAGTTTCCTTTTCAAGACTATTGGTTTCCCGTGCAATTCCCTTCATTTCAGTTAGTTTCGCCTTCATATGTTCCTCTAATTTGTGACTAAAATCAACCAGTTCTGTGAGCATCCTGATCACCAGTGTTTTGAACTGTGCATCTGAAAGTTTTCCTATTTCTTCATTGCTTAGATTTATGGGCTCTTAGATCTGGGGCTTTGAGATCTTCTTGAGGCATTTTTGGTCTGTTCGCGCCCGCTAAGTATGAGCAGCGGAGCCTTAGGTGTTCACCAGGGCAGGCCACCCAGGTTGCTGGGTTGTGACGCTGTATGTGGGGGCGAGTCAGAGCGGGGAAATGGCGGCCCCCTTTGCTGCCTCTCACCGCTGGGGCCTGCTCAGTCCCATCTCACCGCCCACTTCCTCTCTGGTCTATCTGCGCAGGAATGTACCACCACAGTCAACCCACTGCCCTGCACCCTTGCTGGGTCCGCCGACTGCTCACTGGGTTGCTCACTGGACCTGACCGTTGCAACCCCACGCCTGGGATCTGCACGCCTGGGTCTGTCTGACCGAGTTTTCCTGTGCAACCCTGCTCCGCCAGCTGCTGGCTTCGCCCCTCTTACCAGTCAGGCTGAAGAATTTGTTGTTATCAGGCTTCCGAAAAGTTCAATTTTTTGTTGCTAATATTTTATTGTCTCTAAACTTGGTTGTGTGAGAAAGCACGGCGTCTCCACCTATGCCTCCATCTTGGCCGATCATTCTAGAGTTCACTTTAGATGACTATAATTACATTTGACTACACAGCCACTCATTTCTTAAGATTATATTAATAAAGCCAACCGCAATGGGTTTACAAATATTTTGATGATGTTACATATTCCCACTTTTTCGATTTTACTTCCCATAAGCAGAGAGCAAATTATCAGGAGATATTTTATTCTAAACAATTAAATCTAACCAGAGGGAAAAAGAGGTGGGGGAGGTATGAGAGGATAAAGAAGAGATAAATAGTGATGGAAGGAGACTTGGCTTGGGCTGGTGACACACAATACAATATACAGATGATGTGTTATAGAACTGTACCCCTGAAACCTATATAATTTTACTAATCTATGTCACCCCAGAGAATTCAATAAGAAATTCTATCCTACAGATTTAAATAAAGTTGAAGAAGGTCTAAAAGTCAAAACGCTGTCAAAAACTGAACTGAAATTCAAACTAAAACTAAATTCAATTCAAAACTAAACTAAAAGTCAAAACTAAACACTGAATCACTCAAAGGTCAGAAAATGGTAACTATGTTAGAAGAAAATAAACAGAAGCTAATCACTAAATATTCAACTTAGCAAAGTCTAGAAAAAGAGAACATTTAACTGCAACTGCACCTACAAGATGCTCACCAGCATTACTTCAATCACTTCATTTTAAACTAGCATCTAGTTTAGTATCTAATACTTTTCATTTAGTGGCAATCAGGATAAGAATCTAGAATTTTTCCTACCCTTCCACTGTTAAACCCATTCTCTTCCATACGTAACTACTGTTAACATTTGTTTGTAAGCTTTCTGTTATACATTTACACACATACAAATAATATCTGCGAACGGTTTGCTTCTTTCTACTTACTTTTAAAACTTTTTTAAAAACAACTTTTAGAGACTTTTCCATATTAATACACTGATGTACCTCATTATTATAACTACACTATATTAAAGAATATAAAATTAACATAACTACCCTGGCTGATGTTGGCTCAGTGGATTGAGTGCCGGCTTGGGAATTGAAAGGTCACTGGTTCGATTCCTGGTCAGGGCACATGCCTGGGTTGCAGGCCAGGGCCCCACTGGGGGCGTGCAAGAGGCAATCCATCAATGTATCTCTCACACATAGATGTTTCTCTCCCTCCCTCCCTTACCCTCTCTCTAAAAAAAAATCAATACATAAAATCTTAAGAAACAAAATACTGTAACGTATTTAACCATTCCCGTACTGCTACACATTTAAGACACTGTTTTTTCTTCACAGTGCTGCAGAGAACATCTTTGTACTTATGCGTATGTTTAGTAATTCTATAGAAGCAAATCATAAAATAATAATTGTTAGGTCAAATATGACTACTGACAGCTAAAATGAAAGCTTATAAAAAACCCAGATATTGTTTCTAGTACCTTATAAGAATTAACACATCTAATCCTCATGATAATTCCACTAGATAGGTACATTATTATCATTCCTATTTTATAAATGGGGAAACAGGCATTTAAATTTTTAGATAACTTACCCAAGATCATTCATCTAGTAAGAGCCAGGATTAAACATTATCCAAAAAGTCTAATTCAGTTTATAGGTGTATTCACCAAAAATTAGACATTTTAAACTTGCCTAGTAAGATTAAGAGTAATAATTTTGTATTCTGACCATCTGACAGAAACTAGCCCTTCTTTCTTATGGTTGTGGGTTTGATTCCTGGCCGATCTTACAGAGATGTTAAAAAAGGAGCAAAACTCAAGCAGAACAGAGGAAAAAGTTTTTGGTTTCTTGATCCAAGAAATGCCTTGAGTTTTGCACAGTTGGAGAAACCTCAGTATAATTTTTTAGTAGAAGTTCTTAAATTTTATAGAGGGCATCGATGGAGCTGAGAAATTATAGCTAGCTGAGGAAAAAAAAACCCTTGTGATTTCCCCCCCACGACTCTTTTTTCCCTCATCATCTCTGAGGTCAGGGTCACACAGCCCTCCCATGATTAGGCCACACTGCCAAATCCAATGAAAGCTGAAGAGCCTGACAAAAATCTATCCTAAAAGACAGAGACAAATTCAAATTTATCTTTGAAGACAGCACCAAAATCATGACAGTCCTAGGCTCTATTTCTCAGTGGTTCGGATTTAGAACAACATACACTTATTCATTTAGAGACAGAGGAAGGAACCATCAGTTGGATGCCTCCCATATGTGCCCTGACTGGGGATTGAACCCACAATCTAGGTGTGTGCCCTTACTGGGAATCAAACACGACCTTTCCAGTGTATGGGACGACACTTCAAGTAATTGAGCCACACTGGCTGCAGCTCAGCACTTTAGATTTTTAATCCTCAGAAGAATTCTTTGAAATAGATACTATAATTTCTGTATGTTTAAATGAGAAAATAAACAGAAATTAAGTAACTCATCTAAAATTATTGAGTAAGCACAGCAGATTTGGTATTGGCTGTCCAGCTGACAGTCCATAATCTTTACCACTATTCTCCCTCCCTCTCCATATACTGTCATAGAAATATTAACAGAAGAGGTTTCTGCTTAAACAAAAGGCAGAAAACTGTAGTAACAAATAAATGTTATATGCTTTTCTTTTACTCACTAAGTTTAACTGATCCTTCCATTCCCAAAAGCACATTGTCACTTTTGATGTCTCTGTGGATCACTTGGTTAGCATGTAAGAACTCCAGCGCCTGTAAACACTGAACAGAAGAAAAAAACCCCAATCAATGAAACAGTCTCGGGAAAGTGTAAGGAAGGTTCACATGTGGTACACTTAGGGCCTGAGCAATTCCTTCTAGTATCTAGCAGAAGATACTCCAATACTTACATTTATAAAGAAAAAGCATCCTTTCATGTACAAAGTTATAAAAATAAGACACCTTAATAAGATTCGCCATCTCTCACCCTCTGGTCTTACCCAGTGATAATTATTAAATGATTATCTTAACTAGTCCTATCATTCAGTCTTCAATATTTTCATTTATAATATAATGGGCAGAGCTATATAATTTCTAGGCCTTTTCATGTTTAAATGCCTAAATGTATACAGCACTTGGTAAACACCTGCACAAGACTCTTTAGAAATCACTTGAACAGTAAAGGATAAACTTGTGATTATTCCCATATGAATCTCAAATACTCAAGTTCAATCAACATGCCAAGAAAAGCAGGCAAGATCCTGGGCAATCTGGTTCTATCTAGCTGTTTATCAATGTGATGTAAGATGTTTTCATTTCTTCTATGGTGAATTTTATATAAAGCCATATTTACAAAATAGACGCCAATGATAAAGGAGTAACTTTCTTCTTACACTGTTTCAGAAAGCACTGAGTTCAAAGTGAGGAAAAACTCCTCTTCCTTAAAAGTAAAAATGAGGTTAGATTTTTAAAATCTGCATGTCTCTATATTTTTAAATATAAAGTGTGCATAAATTGTAAAGTTGAAAAAAGTTGTGTTTTTATTTCTTACCTTCATCAGAGTAGAACAAAAGAAAATATGTACATCATTTAAAAAGAGTAGACATATCATTCAAAATATTCTATTCATTCAAGGAAAAAACATACGAACTATGTACATTGTTACACTACATTTACCAAGCATTTAAGCAGATTCCTGAAAAAGAACAAATTCCCAGAAAAATGCTTGTACAAATACAAACTTGCCACAGTTGAAAGAACTCCTAAAATAATTTTATAATAATGAAAAACAAATGAAATATAAATAAATTCTTGTTAAGGTTTACCAGCTTTTAAGTAAACAACATTTTTTGTCAGAAGAAATGTTATTGAACTATCAAATTCATTAACAAACTCTTATTTTCTGCCCTACTAAAACAACCAAGCAAGCTATGCCCCTTAGGTGGGAAACAATTAAATCAGAATTAAAAATTTCCAAAAAACCCCCATTATATGTACTGTTCCTACCTGAACAAAGTTTCTAATTCATTTATGTATCACTATAAAAATGCTAAAAGCCAAATCACAGAAACCATTAACAGTTTTAAGAACTTTCATAATTTCGTCCTTTGTGACAATGATTCCTAAGATATTCCAAAGTAGTACCACAGTCTCAATGACAATAGGTAAATCATTAACCTAAGTCTCATTTGAAGAAAATGTTAGGTGAAGGAAGAAGGCTTCTTATTTGGCTTAGACACAGGCAATTTAGCAGAATTTAGGATTTAAAAGCAAACAGCTTCTTCACCTTCAATGAGATCAATAAAGCCAGAAGCAGATGTATTAACACTTGAAACTAGCATGTGTCCTCTTTTACCCAAGTTGTTTCTGCTATTGAGTGTTGCATTAAACATCTTGTTCAGACAATGAATTATTATATTACAGCACTAAAATTCACCTGTGAGTTCAGCACTTCAAAGGTCCATGCTTCATTTCAAAATTATCTTATATATAAAGGGTTGAAATTCTCATGTAGGATGAAATGGTATGGGGAAAACTTGCAGAGAATGTGTACAGAAAAAGTATCTCACATAATAAAATTAACCTGCGTGGCCCCGGCTGGTGTAGCTCAGTGGCTTAACTACAGGCCTGTGAACCAGAGGATAGCGGTTAGATTCCCAGTCAGGACACATGCCTGGGTTGCAGGCCAGTTCCCAGCAGGGGATGCATGAGAGGCAACCATATATTGATATTTCTCTCCCTTTCTCCTTCCGCTCCCCTCTAAAGATAAATAAATAAAATTAACCTGTGTGGAAAAACTTTCTCTTTTTTCATCTCCTGCTACCCATAACTTATCAAGGGGAGCAAACTCACCTCTCTGCACACAGCAGCAATCTGTGCTTCATCCATGCAGGTTTCTGTTACAACATCAGTAAGTGATCCCCCAGCAAGGTACTCCATTACTACAAACAATTCATCTCCCACCAGGTAACTAAAAAAAAGAACACACAAAATACACTCATGCTTTTACTTTTTCTAAGCCCATGGCACTGTATGTTGAAGAATCCAAAGTTTAGATATTCTCATAACAAAACTAGAAAGCTGGTAGCTTTGAGAGAGAGAGAGGAAGACAACTGGAAAGTTGCTATGTAACCCCGCAGAAAAATAACTGAGGGTGATTACAATTTTCCTGAATAATTTTAAAGTTTGTCAACAATTGTAACTTGGGGTAGATTTACTCATCCTGTTTTACAGATGAACAGACTGAGACTGAAGTCTGGACTGGTTAAGTTTGGAGAGGTTAAGGTCACATAGTTAGTAAATGACAGAACCAGAATCTGAAGCCAAGTATAAACTGTTTTCAAAGCTTATGGCTTTTCTTTCTGCATCCAAAATCTCTTTAGTTGATGTTTTTTTTTTAGAGGAAGGGGGAAGAGGGAGAGGTGGGTAGAGAAAGAGGGTGAGACAGGCATCCATTTGTTGTTCTAGTTATTTTTGCATTCATTGGCTGCTTCTTATATGGCTCTCACCAGGGATCAAGCCCATAACCATGACATATGGGGACAATGGTCTAACCAACTGAAGTACCCGGTCTGGCCCATCATCCAAAATCTTTTCTTTGAAAATATCCTAAGAACATTTTTTCATTGCTTTTAGAGAGTGAGAGGAAGGGAGAGACAGAGTGAGAAGCATCAATGTGAGAAGCATCAATTGGTTCTCTCTCATAGGGGCCCTAATTAGGGATAAAACCTGCAACTGGGTATGTGCCCTGACCAGGAATCAAACCCGTGACCCTTGGTCTACTGAATGATGCTCCAACCAACTGAGCCACACTAGCCAAGGGCAAAGAAAATCTTTTTAGTAACAAGGTAGTATCTGGAGTTAGTTTTTATAGACATGGTGGGCCCACTGGCCTCTTATGTGCTCAAACATCCAGCTCTGGGATGTAGGCAGGGTTTGATGTGGCTGTGAGGGGCTACTGGGGTCTTGCCAAAATGCCCATACATATCTTGGCCCTTCTGAGGACCAGAAAGCAAGATGGTGTCATAGCCCTTGGGGGAGTCCAGGGCCAGCAGACTGAAGGTGAGGATCTTGCCCTCGGCCTGGAGAATGTGGCTGCTCACATGAAGTGCACAAACCTTCAGTCTGGGTACCTCCTGGACGTGCACATAGGTTATAGTCCCTACAACCTCAGTGGTTTTACCCTCCCTACTGGGAAGCTTCATCTTCCGGATCATCTGGAAAAGGGACAGAGGTGGTTGGTTGGTGCAACTCATGAACAACCCCTTCAGCACCACTTGGTTGAAGGTGAAGTTGCTTCCTCTGGCCAGAGACCTGTATAGCTTGTCCAACAGCCTTAGGTAGATGTCATGGCTCTTGGGCTATCTGTGCTGAAACTTTCAGTCTTTGTTGTGGTGGATGTTCACTCTCATGATGGCGCCTTCTACTCCCACCACATCTGGAAAATGTATGGTTTTTCTTAACTACCACAATATACTGACTTAAAATACTATTTAAAAAATGTTCCTGGAAAGTTTATTTCTATGAGCATGGTGCAATTATTAGGGCTAAAGTCTAAAAATGGATTATCATTACTCCATTCAAAACAAATTTAAATGTGGAAGACCTATCTCCAAAACAACCACTATTATAATTTTTATTATTTTTTATAACTACTTCATTTATATACATGTAATTGCTTTAGAAAACACATATAATAGTAAAATATACTTTTTAAAGAAAAAACCTCACTCAAAGATGTTTATTAATTTTAGAGAGAGGAAGGAAGAGGGAGGGAGAGGAACAGACAGAAATATTGATGTCAGAGGAAAATATTGATCAACGCCTCTTTGTACGTGCCCCAACTGGGAACTGAACGTGCAACCTTTTTGGTGTATAGGATGACATTCCAACTGAGCCACCTGGCCAAAGCATAAAATATGCTTATTAACATCATTCCTAAATTAAATGCTTTTGATAAGACATTTACCCATGAAAGCATCTAAAATAAAAATTCATGTAAAAGTTTAGAAACTATGTGACCCATCACCTCTGTTAGTCAAGATATGAATCACCTTCCTGTTTCTACTTCTGAAGATTTGTAACTAATATGAGCACCAGCAGCAATGCCCTTCATTTAACTGCCTTCTCTCACTTGCCAAGTGATGCCTATGTAGAAAAGGGGACTGTTCAACTGCAATGTGCAGCTTTTACCTCTTTCACGCTTACTTCTCAGCACAGACATTCTACTGTGGTCTAACTAAAGTGGCTAGCCACCCAAACCACAAGATTTAACATTTCCGTATTTTTGTCTCAATGCTTGAGAAATATTCATTATTTACCTGTCCAAGAAGTTAACTATGTTGGGATTCTTCAATTCTTTCATCACCAGAATCTCGTTGATGATCAATTCCTTCTTTGGTTGTTTCTGTAAATTAATCTGTTTGATAGCAACCTATGATGGAAACAGAATTAAAAAAATAAATCAAAACAAGTTTCCTAATTCTCTTAACAAAATTACAAATACCAATCAGGTGATAATAATTCAGTTTACTATAAATATTATAAAATGAAATTATAATTTACTAGTTGGCAGTACTTTTATTTCCATACTGCCTATGACAATGCTTTATAATACATAGCGCCCAAATATTTTTAATCAGCTTAACAATAACCCACAACCTTCAGACCAATTACACCCAAATTATTTTTAAAGATTTTATTTACTTATTCTTAGAGACACAGGAAGGGGGAGAGAAACATCAATGTGTGAGAGAAACTTCGACTGGTTCCCTTTTGCACATGCCCTGACTACAGACTGGGCTCACAATCCAGGCATGTGCCTTCACCCGGAATTCAACCAGCACCTTTTGCTCTGTGGGACGACACCCAACCAACTGAGCTACATCAGTCAGGGCGAGTCCAAATATTTTTAGATTTCTCTTGAAACTGATTAATCAACCCAAGGACAGCTCAGTGCCTAGAATTAATTCTCTTTTCATTTAAGCTGGGAAAAAAATTTTGCTTCTTTATAAAAATAACACATTAAGTCCTTCTTTTTTCTCCTAAATAAGTGTCATAAAGTTACACAGAATAATTCTTTCAACAGATTCAACTGAAAAAGAGAATTCTATTGATTATTCACAGGTTTGTCTAGCGTCCTCCTATGCTAAAAGCTAATGATAAACCCAGAACAACAAAAAAGTAGCTACCTCCTGTCCCAACGCCACATCAGTAGCAGTGAAAACTGTACCAGAAGCCCTAGGGAAAAAAGAAGACACAGCCAGATTTAAGGTTTCTAAATCACTACCCTTTATAACATCCAAAGAATTTATATTAGAACAAATGAAAAAGGATTAAGCATTTAAGACTTAACATCTATAACAAAAGTAAAAATAAAAACAAAAGCAAAAAAAGCAAAACCAAACAAACAAAAAAACAGAAAAAGAGCCAATCCACGTGGTCAAAACTTAGGTTAGAAATGTCACAAATTTCATACCTTCAAAAACGTAAGAAAAAGATGAAGGATAGAAAAAAGCAACATATATATACTCATGGATCTGTCTCCCTGCTTAAGAAAAACAAAGAATTACAAATAAACTTGAAGGTTCTTGTGTGGCCTTTCCAAAGGCAACCTCCTTGTTTCCCAAAAGTAATCTTCTATGTGTTGTTCATATTGTATTTCATGTACGTCAGTTCCACCCATTTCTCTGTACTTTATCTATCAAGGACATAGGTGTGTATCACTACAGAATATACGTTAACATAATTTCAAAACTTCATATAATAATTTCACCATGTATTTTTCAGCGATTTTTAAATTCAATATTGGATTTGGGACGATCGTCCATATGAAACAGATGTTATTCCTGTTTTTTTATTGCTTTTTGCTAGATGCCACTCTTGTTTATTCATAATAATTATTACATATATTAATCAATATATTACAATTTATCCATTATTGTGCTTAAAAATGTTAAGAAGATTCTCAAAATCTTGTTTTTAAAACCAATGCTGCAACTGAATTTAGTTTTTGAAAAGAAATTCATAAGGAAACTTTCAAAGAAAGACTTCACCTCTTTCTAAATTCACAGAACATTTTCCAGAAATTAACAACATTAAAAATCCCAGATGTTCATTTGTTCCCAAGCAACAGAAAAAATTCAGTTGCTATAATTATATTATATTAACAATACAAATTTGTATAGTTAAAATACAAATTACTAGAAAAAAACACAGTAGACTTAAGGTCAGTAGACTCAACATCAATACTTAATGGATGTGATGAAAATGCATGTTTTTATTGCCCACACTCTTACAGCACAGATGTCAAACACAAGGCCTAAGGGCTGTCCCCGGCTCTTCATGTTGTTTTTATCCAGCTGGCCTGGCACTTTGTTTCTACCCGGTAGTAGCACCGAACTCCTTGCCCCTAGGTTAAGGAGGAGTTACGTTTATACAGTCCTAAAATTATATTTGGCCCTTTGAAGGCAACCCCAAGGCTGATGTGGCCCCTAGTGAAAATGAGTTTGACACCCCTGCTCTCACAGTCTTAAGTATTTTTAATGAGCAATTTTCCCAACCATCTAATCTCTTACCACCAATGGGCAATAACACTTAAGAAGAAACAATGTACCATCTGTGGCTAAGTAGTAGTTTTTTAAAAGCATCTAGAAATAAATGCATTACTTATTTACACAAATCTAAAGATATCACTCATAGAAGTCTGAGAGTGCTCAATGTCAGCAAGCCAAAGAAGTAATTGTGCAGTACACCTAGGAAGTATTGAATACTGTGATAATATAAGTCACAAATACTTACCCTTGCCCAATTTTTTCATATCTTGTGTATTTTTTCTTAGGGTCACCTATGCTTACAATAGTTCCTATTTAAAACAAACAAACAAAAAAATTATAAGCTCCATCAAGCATTTCAAAATTGTAAATTAATTCTAGTATCATTATTCCTTTTAATAAACTCCAATGATTTTGTTTAGTTACTTATGGCCATTTTGTATTCTCATATTGAGAAGCTATAGGTATGCATAAATACATATATAAACTTCCTTTTAAAAAGTTTCTAGCTATGATCCTTAGATCTGGCCCTTTGGGAAAAAGAGCTGCTCCAAAAGTACTGACTGTTCTAGAGATGTTACTCATTAGTCAACACATAATAAATAAGCAAAGATGAGTGTTTTGGGCTTCACCAAATTTTAATTGAAGCTATTGTTCCTAAAAGAAAATTTCTCCTTTGTCTTAAGCCAAAATATAGGGTATAAATTAAAATCAATTTGGGCCAAAGGTTACAAGAGCAGTTAACAATTCCAGAATAATGTAAAATGTAGAAGACATACTTAATTTCTCCATGATCTCTTCATCTGTCATTTTAGTCTTCTTTTTCTGTTTGTCAGAAGACTTGGCACCACCATCAACATTAGAATCACCAACTGGGGCAGGAATAGGGTCAATTACAGACCGTGTATAAATCTGCAGAGAGAGAGATAATTACTGATATATTAGAAAAAACATTTTTATGTATTCTTATTGGTACACCATTCAGTTCTTTGATTTTTAATCAGAGCTAAGTTGTCTCCAGTGTTCCAAAGAAAGAGAATATTTCCAGATCTGTCTTATAAAAGATTTGTAACTAAGAAGAACAAATGTGAAATTTTTCTTTGGCACACCATACCTATCTTTTAAGTTTTTGTAGCAGGTCCATGAAAGAAATTTAAGTGTAACCAGATCTGAAATGATATGCAAGCAATGAAGCAAAAATAAGTTTAAAATCATGTTTTTACCAAAAAAGAGAAATAAAGAGCAAAATAATACAAACCCTGATATTAAAAGAACTATTAACCCCCCCAAACTTTTGTACAAATATGATTTCTATCATTTCCTTTCCAACAGCCAGTTAATAGGAAAGAAAGAAAACAGAGCCCTCTACCATTAGATCAGGATGCAATGGCAGGCCTTAGAGCTTCCCCTGCTGAGTGCGCCAGCACTCCCTCAGAGGCCACTGCACAGCACCCTCCCCAATTTACTCATAAATATTAGCACAAGAAGAGGGACAGGACTCTGTCTCTAAGGTCATTACTGTTAGAATTCTCTTACATCTATATCTGGTTTGGAATTTATTCTTAGCAGCCTCTTGAATGACACCAAGGCTTTGAGAGAAATGTAAAATCAGAGATAAAATATATAATTTGGGTATGAAGACCAAAGTTTTAGATATAGCAGTTATCTGCATTGAAATAAACAGAGAAAGTCAGAGCAATACACGAATTCTCTGGAAGAAAAGGTTTAATATAGATAGAAAAAACAGTAAGAAGTGGGGAAGGGGGCTTGCATGCAGGGCTGGGTGAAAAAGGTGAACGGATTAAGTAAGCCCCAAAACAAACTCATACACACAGACAGTAGGGTGATTACTAAAAGATGGAAAAGGGGGATGAATGGTGATAGAAGGAGACTTAGGGTGATACCATATCAGGGACATTCTATTTCTTTAACATGGCTTCCTCAACTAATCAAAAGGCTAGCTAAAACACATATTAAGTAGTTATTTACTTCTGATGTGTTCCAGAATTGTACACCTGAAATCTGTAACTTTATTAACCAATGTCACCCCAACGAAATCAATTAAAAAAAAAAAGAGAAGTATTTTAAAGAAGCCACTCAATTTTTAACTTTCCAAAAAGCTAGTGTTTTCCTAAGTGGTCTTCAGGTAAAGATCTCCTAATCTAATTTCCCTACACTAAAATATTTTAAGCATGAGGGCTTTTAAAAATTGATCATTGGAAGTTAAATACAGACTGCTTTTTAAAACACACATGCACAGACACACACAGCCCAATTCACCAGTAAGACACTCACTGATTTTGTATGATCTGGTCGTGGGGCAATAACAGGAGGAGCAGCTTCTTCATCATCATCATCTTCCTCTGTTGCTAATGTTTCTGATCCCTTGGCACTCAGCTGTATTTATCAATGAGCAAAGTTGAGGAAGACAAGTCAAATATAATAATATATTAACATATGACCCTCCCTTAAAAAAATATCTGAAAATATGTATTTTAACAGCTCATTTCAAAATGATAAATTCTCACTGACTCTAATTACTTAAAAAGTGAACACAATTTTCTAAGTAAAGAAAGTTTATGAAATAAATATGATAAATATCCAGTATTCTTGAGAGAATTTACACCCAAATTTACATAGAGAATTTTATACCCTTTAAACAAACCCTAAAAGTAAACAATAAACCCTGGCCAGACAGATCAGTTGGTTAGAGAGCTGTCCTGATGCACCAAGATTGCAGGTACGATTTCTGGTCAGGGAATATCTATAAGAATCAACCAATGCATAATAAACAAGTGGAATAACAAACCGATGTCTCTCCCCCTCCTTTCCTCTCTGTCTCTAAAATCAATCAATAAAAAAAATTTTAAAGTAAACAATGACTTTATTTGTTAAGACCAAAAATAAAGATCCTCTAGGGTTTGAACAAGTCAGAGTCATTTTCAGGAATTTAAAACAGCTACATTCACCAGGGGAAAAAAAAAGGTGGCTAATGAAGCAACAGAGGAAGGTATTAACCTTTATATAGATAGAAATTACTATAAGCCAGGTGTGTAGCTAGGTAGGTACTTTTTAAGTTACCCCATTTAATCTTCATATAACCTGGGACACTGTTCCCTTCTAACTGAGGAACTGAAAATAAAACAGTGGCTTTGCAGGAGCATGATAACTTAGATGAAGTTTCAGAAACTTTGAAGACTGATAAGGCTTCTCTATTGTTCAGTATGTCTCCATCATCTATATTCAGTAGAATGGTGCCAGAGAAAAAGACTAGCAAGTTCTCTGTATTCATGTTTGTATATGGAAACATTACCAAAAGCAGCTAGCCTGCTCTAGATCGTAAGTTTTAGACACTTCGAGTTTATATCAGGGACATTCTATCTGTTTAACATGGCTTCCTCAAACAATCAAGTGGCTAGCTAAAATATATATGAAGGAGTTATTTATTTCTAATGGCTGTAATTCATTTTAGAAAGCAAAATAAAAACTGAAATTTGTTTTGAGTAACTTAATGAGAACAAGAGCTTTAAGAAATAACATATTCACTCACTGCTGGTGTTCCAGAAGGGAAGCCATCTTTCTCTAAATGTGAAAAAGAAAATAATGCTAAGTTAATATTTCAAAAAATGTCTAAAAAAATAAAGATAAAAAGCAGAGCAAGTAAAATGTTCTTAGACTGATTTTAAGTTGAATTAAGTCTTGAGAAAAATGACAATATTCAAACAAGAATTTGTATTAGATTGAGTTAACAAATGAAACCTTAATCTTAATGAAACTCTCAATTTACTAAAAATTATTGAATTGTATATTTCAAATGGGTAAATTTTATTAGCATGTAAATTATACCTTAATAAAGTTATTAAAAATTTACTTGAAGCTACACCTGTCAATCTGTATTTATTAAACTAAACAGAAATTTATTTATAATACTTTCTCCAGAAAACTGCCTATTGGAGAACTTAAAGCAACCACGAAGACAATGACAAGTGTGCAAAGGACAATTCTTGACATAAATTGTGACCAATATAAAAACAAATCCTGCCCTGGCTGGTGTGGCTCAGTGGGTTGAGTGGTGGCCTGTGAACCAAAGGGTCGGGGTTTTATTCCCAGTCTGGGAATGCCTGGGTTGCCGGTCAGGTCCCCAGTAGGGAGCGTGTGAGGGGCAACCACACACTGATACTTCTCTCTTATTCTCCCTCCCTTCTGCTCTCTAAAAATAAGTAAATATGTACATACATAAATCTTTTTTTTTAAATTTTTATTTATTTATCTTTAGAGGGGAAGGAGAAAGGGAGAGAAACATCAATGTATGGTTGCCTCTAGTGCATCCCCTGCAGGGAACTGGCCTGCAGGGAACCTGCCTGCAACCCAGGCATGTGCCCTGACTGGGAATCGAATCGTGATCCTCTGGTTCACAGGCCTGTGCTCAATCCACTGAGCTACACCAGCCAGGGCTCTACATACATAAATCTTAACAAAAGAAAGAAAGTGAAACAAATCCCTGAGGGTCACACAGTTCATGAAGACTAAATGTTCAAATACTCATTCTGGAGTTTAGAACGTTAAGTTGTGTGCTGTTTTACTTTAAAAAAAAATTAAATTTAAAAAAATACGTATGTAGGAAATGTATGATTTTCTGGTGCGACATTGATTTTTAAAAAAGATCACTAATTTACAAACTTACTAGTTGACCGAAAAGTTCTAGAGACAAGTACACCTTTTTGCTAAGATGTACTAACAAGGTAAAAAAAGGTCAAAATCACTTGCTAATTGGTCTTTCTACAATGATGCAAATTAAGTACAATAAAAACCACATGTATGACTTTAGCTCAATCACACTATTTTAAAATACTACATGTATGACTTCAGGAGACAGAGGAACACATTAAATGTCACAGGATGTAATTAGTAAAATCTATGCTAGGGAAACAAGACAAATGATCTCATTTCTTTAATAAATAAACTGCAAGGAAACAGATCATGAAAACCAGCATGAGATAGGGGAAGAGTAAGCATAAATATCAAAAAAGATTCAAGAGATATAGCAATCAACTGCAATGTATAAACTTTATTATGATCCTGATTCAAACAAATAAACTTTTAAAAAATCTACTATTCTCCAGTTCTTACCTGATATTTATATTTTGAGGTACATATTCTTTTAGTCTAATGCTTATTTTGTTTAAATATTTGGTAAGTTTCAATTTTTGAGTGGACTTCAACATTTTTACTTCAAATTCTGTGCATTTATATGGTAAAACAACCGTCCTCCTGTCTCACTAACAATAAATATATTTCCAATATGAATTATCAGAATCTTTCCCCTTATTTCTGTTAGTCATTCAAAAGCAATGAAAAGCAAAATAAAATAAGCAAAAAGCCAAATCATCCATTTCTGTCAAACTAAGAGAATAATATAATTCCCAGATTCCAAATTATGCATAAAAACTGCTCCAATTAGTTTATAAAAGGTAGATCCATGCAAGGGAAAAACTGGAGACAAAAACCATAGCTTAGTTTTCATTGTTTTTTTTTTAAGAAGGAATCTCTTTTTAAATCTAGAATAGCATCACAACTCTGCAATCTCATCTGAATTAGGCCTTTTAGAGCTGACTGATGTCTTACCTGGAGGAGTAAAGCTCAGATATTTCTGCTTCACTGTGTTGGAGTCATAGAACTTTAAGACATCTAACACAGCCTGAGGATTCTTCTTTTGCTCTAGTTTGGTGATATTGGAAGTCTGTAACAATCGGGCCCATTGTTCTGGCATGCCCTAAAAACAAAATAGTCAGAAATTAGTTAATCAATCTGAGTTGCTCTAATAAAATCATTTTCCTGAGGCAAATGACAAAATACAATGGCAAATCCATCTACTTAACTACAGGTTTGACTTAATTCTACAAGGCCTAGTTTTTGATCATCTTAAGACTTCCATGCAAGATGGCGGCACACGTACAGATGGCTTGCCACCTCCCACAACCACATCAAAATTACAACTAACTACGAACAACCACTTGCCAGACATAGAGCTGAATGGAAGTCCCACAACTTCAGAATTAAAGGAAGCAAGCATGTCGAGATTGACAAAAAGGGTAAAAATGCTGAATGAGCTAGTCCCACACCCACATGTGCCAGGTACGAATCGGGAGGGATATCTCAGGAGCAAGGGGTCCGAGCTCCACAACAGCACCCCAGCCCAGGATTTTAGTGCTAGGATGACAAGTTCCCACAGCTTCTGGCTGTAAAAACCAGAGAGGACTGAGGCTGTGAAAGACAAATTGCTAGAGTCCCAGGCAGTTCTTTTTACAGGGCTTGCACCTAGACTTACTCTGGTTTACTTCTTCTCAGCTTCAGCATGAGGGCAACAGATGGAAAGGCACCAGACACATACAGGGAGGAACTGAAGTGTCTGGCATCTGGGTGAGAGGTGGGGGGCAGCTTTCTCCCAGACAGAAGTGGTGGCAGAGGCCACTGCTCTTTTTCTGAGCACTCCTCCCATAGGGCTGGCTGGTGGGTGCCATATATGAAACTTCATCTACCTGGCTCACACTGTTTGCTGTACCCTGTCATCCCGCAAGGCTCCACCACCCAACTTTCGAGGCCACTCAACCTGTTTCCAGTAGCTTTTCCGTATGAATGGCTTGTCTTGGGTCACACTTCAGATTCTCTTAAACCAGGGATATCAAACTCATTTTTACTGGAGCCCATATCAGCCTTGAGGTTGCCTTTAAAGGGCTGAATGCAATGTCAACTCCTTAGCAGTTAGGAGTAGTTACATTTATATAGTCCTAAAATTATTTCGGCCCTTTTGAGGCAAACTTGAGGCTGCTGATGTGGCCCCATAAAAATGAGTTTCATACCCCTGTCCTAATTTCTCTCAAACAAGCAGCATCTGGCCTCAGCATGCCCTGTGCCAATTGCTAAGTGGCCCCAGGCCTGGGACTAGCAGCAGCTGGCCTTGGTTCACAGCTTGGACTTGCCTGGGCACCTCCAAATCCAGCACAAGTAGCAGCCAACTGCAGATGGCTTTGTAGGTTATGCCGGGTGGCCCAGGGCCAAACACAGGTGGTGGCTGACTTTAGTTTCCACCTCCTGCGAGGCCCCAGAGCCTGTGCACCCAGTGGACAGCTATAGACCAAATTGGGGCACCACCCCCCAACCACCTCCATGAGTGACAGTCAAAAGGTAGACTCAGTGGGCACCAGAGTCCTGCTAAATAGTAAGTCTTGCTTGGCATGGGCCCCTACACAGCTGGTCCTCCATGGTGGTCAGAGACTGGTGGTCAGTGGTCACTGCCGGTCCTCAGCCCCTACAGTTGGTTGGCCCAGATAAACCACTCCCATCGATCTGCCAACCGAAATCAAGGCTCAACTACAACATAGGGATGTACACCATCCACACAGTGGGCACACCTTAAGTACCCAGCTTGGGTGGTAGGAGACACTGTACCACTGGACCCCACTCTTCCAAAACAGAGAGTCATAGCAGCTCTACCTAATACACAGAAACAAACACAGGGAGGCTGGCAAAATGAAGAGACAAAGAAACATGGCCCAAATGAAAGAACAGATCAAAACTCGAGAAAAAGAACTAAATAAAATGGAGACAAGCAATCCACTAGATGCAGAGTTCAAAACACTGGTTATAAGGATGCTCAATGAACTTAGTGAGAACTTCCAACAGCATAAAAAAGGGCATGGAAACCATAAAAAAGAACCAGTCAGAAATGGAGAATACACTAATTAAAAGAGAAAACAATTTACAGGGAGTTAACAGTAAAATGGATGAAGCTGAGAATCAAATCAGCAATTTAGAATATAAGGGAGCAAAAAAACACTCAATCAGAACAAGAAAAAAGAACCCCCCAAATTGAGGAGAGTGTAAGAAGTCTCTGAAACAACTTCGGGCATACCAATTTTGCATCATGGTGTTGCCAGAAGAGAGAGAGAAAACAAGAAATTAAAAACCTATTTGAAAGAACAGTAACAGAAAATGTCACTAACCTGATGAAGGAAATAGACATACAAGTCCAGGAAGCACAGAGAGTCCCAAAGAGATGAACCCAAAGAGGCCCATTACAATAAAAATGCCAAAGGTTAAAAACAAAGAAAGAATCTTAAAAACAGCAAGAGAAAAGCAGTTAGTTACCTATAAGGGAACTCCCGTAAGACTGTCAGCTGATTTTTCAAAAGAAACTTTGCAGGATAGAAGGGACTGGTGAGAAATATTCAAAGTGATGAAAAGCAAGGACCTACATCCAAGATTACTGTATCCAGCAAAGCTACCATTTAGAATCAAAGGACAAATAAAGAACTTCCCATACAAGAAAAAGCTAAAGTTCACCATCACCAAACCAGTAATATAGAAATGTTAAAGGGCCTTCTTTAAGAAGAATATCAAATATATGAATGAAATGGCAATAAATATGTATCTATCAATAATTAAATCTAAAAAAAAACACCAAAATAAACAAAGAAGAAGAAGACAAACAGAAATCATAGATACAGAGAGCAGTTTGATGGATGCCAGATGGAAGGGGAGTAGGGTAGATGGGCAAAAAAGATGAAAGTATTTGGAAGTACTAACTGGTCATTACAGAAGAGTCATGGGGATGTAAGTACAGCATAGGGAATATAGTAACCAAAGAATATATATATGCATGAACATGGACAATGGTGTAGTGACTGCCTTAGGGAGTGGGGGCAATGGGGTCTGGGCAGAGGGAGGCCCAGAGATGGAGAGAAACATCAACAGGGAAAAAATTGGGACAAGTGTAATAGCATAAATAATGAAATATAATTTAACATAAAACACCTAGTTTTAAAAAGGCTTATTTGCCCAAATCTATTTTGCATAATTATAATTAGCAGGCCCTGCTCCCTAGGAAAAATATACATCCATCCACAAACATTTTTAGAAGAGAAACGCATTAAGAACTCAATATGTACACCAGAAAGTTACTTTCAAACTTAATACTGAGTGGAAAAGCTTAAGTGATGACATAAAAGTGAGTCCCATTAGGTAAACTTACAGTGAATTCTCCAGTAACAGCATCAAAGCCAACATGGATGGTGTGCTCAAAATCAGATGGAGGAGAAATTTCTGGCCGTTCCTTCTCTTTCTTCTTACTTCCTAAGGAGCATTAATAAAAATGAATAAGGCTATTTAAACATAATAATGTTTATATTTTTCTAAAATAGATTAGGAATGAAGTTACTCTAGAAAATAAATTTCTTAAAGACAGTGCAGTGATTGATAGAAAACTGATGAGGCCAAGTAACCAATCCTGTCACCAAGTCGGGGTGGGGACAACCAGTGTCCAGATTAGAGAAGCATACAGATTCCCAGCACTAGGCCTAATTAAAACGGCTCAAGGCAGAAGAGACAGCTCCTTAGGACACTGGTTCATTCTCTCATAAGTAAAGGCTTATATCTTAAATACTGTGTAATTTGGAAAATGTCTATCAAATTCTATTTCCATTTGGTTATATCCATCCAGAAAAGGCAACTTATATTACTATGACAATATAGATAATAGGCACTGTATAGATTCATTTACAAAGATAACATCAACTTTTTTGTGCAACTCTAACCCTTTTTTTTTCCTAGAGGAAATACTTATTTTCAGAGAGAGTGGAAGGGAGGGAGAAAGAGAGGGAGAGAAACATTAACGTGCAAGAGAAATATAGGTCGGTTGCCTCACATGCCCCCAACTGGCACCTGGCCTGCAACCCAGGCATGTACCCTGACTGTAACTGAACTGGTGATCTTCCACTTTGCAGGATGGAGCCCAAGTCACTGAGCCATGCAGGTCATGGCCAACCCTTCCTTTTTACTGAAATCAGTAATAGCTTCATTTTAAAGTTTCCATTTTTCTGTGGTTCCACCAATTATTTTTGCAACATTTCCACAACATACCTATCAATATTCTCTGTAAATTTGTTTCTTTTACTAGTCATCTCACTCTCTGATCCCTGCTCTTATCAGTAGTCATTTATGCCTAGGTTTCTGGTATGTCACCCCAGCACTTTTCTCACCTTTGTCTTGTGCTAAAATCAACGGTATTTTCTGGATTCTGTCTGTTTTTTTTCCTCTTCTTGGTTTACTCCTTCCTAATTTCTGACTATACATATATTTAGGCGAAAATGTTTATCCTACTTAAAAATTTCTTCTAATTTCCAGTGCTGCCATATGTAATAGGTCAATGCCATTCTGAACCACCGTTGGCTCTATGTCTGGATGCTCAACTTTATTGCAATGTTCTCTTTATCTGTACGCCAATGCCAGACTGCCTTGATTACTGAAGTTTTAAAATAAGCATTGAAACTACATGGTATGAGCCTTGTAACTTTTTCTTCTTTTCAAAGCTTCTTGGCTAAGTCTTTTGCATTTCTGTGTAAATGTTAGAATAAGCTCGACAATTTTACAAAAAAGCCTGCTGAGATTTTGACTGGGATTGCACTAATCATTTTGTTCAATATTAACATAGCCAGTCCAGGTTTCTTTTCACTGTTAGCATACTTCTGAAATTCTTTTATTTTAACCTACTTATGGGTTTTATTTTTTAAGTGGATTTCTTGTAGACAGCAAGTAATTAGGTCTCCTTTAGCAATTTAATAATGTCTGCCTTTTAAGTGGGGTGTCTAGATCAGTTACATTTAATTATGATTTTAATATAGTTGGGTTAAACTCACCATCCTATTATTCACTTTCTAATGGTGTCTATCTACTCTTCATTTTTTATTTTCCTCCTTTAGATTAACTATTTTTAAAATAATTGCCTTTATCTCCTTTGTTCATTTCTTCAGCTATAACTCCTTAACCGTGCACAGGTCATAGCTGATCTAGAGATACAAACTCTTTTCTTAAATACTGTTACATATAGCAGGTGTATAGGTTCCAGGTCATGGCTAGCTGTGCATCTGTATGTGACTAATATTAAGCCATAACATTTAAGCCATTGGTTTGGTCATCATATGTGTTTCTTAAGGGTGTGTGATATCCGATAGTAAATTGTATCTGAGAGAAATCGTGAACTCCAAAGTCAGTACTGATGTTATTTATTTATTTATTGATTTATTTATTTTCCTTTGGTGAACTTGGAAGTCAGTATTGTGCTGTTTTTTTTTAATTTACCATTGGAAATGGCTGGAAAAATAAATTGATTTGATAATGCAATCGATGCTGAAGAATTTCAGCAAATGCTACTCAAGTCCAATGATGAGAATGATAGTGTTGAATGTGAAAATGAAAGTGATTTAGAAGATGGAGATTTGTGGAGGTTCATTCAGAAGATTAGGATACCAAGCAAGATATTTCTAGTAAAGAATGTGAAGATGAATTAGACATGAATGAAGAATATTTTTTGGAGAGGATAAAGAATCAAAACGGAGGAAAAATCCAATAAGAAGAAAATTTAGAATCAGATGCAGAATATTTTGTATAAACTTCCATTAGTTTCGCCAAACACAGAAAATGCCAACCAAGACAGAATTTGATACTTGGGATTGCTTTACCACAAATGATATTTTAGATCTAATCTTATTATATACAAATGAATACATTGATTCTATCTCAAGCTAGTTTTCACAAGATGCTAAATGAATAGACGAAACTCAACTGAAAGCATTTTTAGGCCTTATATCTAGTTGGTTTACATAGTAGTGACTGGCTAAACTTGCAGGATTTATGGGCTACAGATGGTAGTGGGATTGAAATTTTTAAACTTACAATATATTTATGGAGATTTAGATTTATTCATAATTGTATCAAGTTTGATGACAAACCTACCCACTTAGAATGCCTGAAAAGTGCACAAATTAGCAGCTGTGAGAGACATTTTCTCAGCATTTGTAGAAAGTTGTAAATTGTTACTCCATGGGACAGACAGTAACAACAGACGAAATGTTACCTGGATTTAGAGGCAAATGTGGGTTTAGACAATATATTCCATCCAAGCCCAGTAAATATGGTATACAAATTTTTGCTATGGGCAATTCAAAAGTATTTTACACAGGAAATCTTGAAATATATATACTGGTAAGCAGCCCCAAAGCCTTTACTTGATTAGTAATAAACCAGCAGATGTAATCAAGAGACTTGCAGAACCCATTTACTCACCAGAATGTAGTATTACAGCAGGTAACTGGTTCACAGATAGAAATCTCATCTCTGACTTGAAAAAGGAGCAACTTTCACATGTAGGTACTGTTCATAACAATAACCCCTAACTGCCTCTGAATTTGTGTTTTCTAAAAACAGACCAGGAAAAACTGATTTGCTTTTGGTGTAGATTACACACTTATATCTCATATACCCCCAAAAGGGAAAAACATAACTAAGTATGCATTTCAATGACGTCGTAAATTCAGATCTGCAAAACCTGACATGATGCAACATTGCAATCAAACGAAGTCAGGAGTTGACACTGTGGACCACATGATAGGTACACAGGCCAGGAACACCAGAAGATGGCCTACGGTTATACTCTACACCACGGGTGGCAAACACAAAGCCCGAGGGCCGAATCTAGCCCTCCACCTTGTTTTATCCGGCCTGGCACCTTGTTTCTACCCAGCAGCAGCACCAAGCTCTTGTTTAACTATTAAGGCGAGTTACATTTATACAGTCCTAACATTACATTTGACCCTTTGAAGGCAACCTCAAGTTTGATATGGCCCCCAGTGAAAACAAGTTTGACACCCCTGCTCTACACAATTTTGAATATTGTGGGAATAAATGCTCAGACTATTTATATGCTGAACAGCTATGTGAAAATAAGGTGCAGAATATTTATTAGAAATCTCGTAATGCAGTTATTGTCAGGACAAAAAAAGGCATTCAGAAATCACTACAGGTGTGCATAAGACCTTACACCTGAAACTTCATCAATTTCAACACAAATTGAAGAAAATTCTAATATCGATACAGCTTCCTCAACAAGCAGAAAAAGATATGTTAGGTGCTGTGCATTTGAAATGAGTCACCTATCAAAATATTTCTCAAAGTGTTAATGAAAAGTATTTATGCCTCAAGCATAGCATATTCTTTTGTGATGACTGTTACAAATGTTTTGCAAGGCCAAGTATTGGAGATTTTGGTTAATGTTAAAAGACACTTTTTGGTTGTGTTTTTTAAGCAATATCCATGTTTCCATTATTTAAAAAGAAAATTTTTTATTTACGTTTTTATATTTCTTTAACAATGTCTAGATTCTTAACTAAAAGTAAATAAAAATAATGAGTTTTAGCATATAAATAAATGCACATTTTCAGTTAAAAAATTTTTCCCCACATTTCAGTACATATTAGTAATGAATGTATCGCTCAGATAAACACAACCCACATGTAATTTTTTTGACTGTGACTTCTGTGGGATTAAGTACCATAAAGTTCACTTGTTTAAATTATACAATTCAATGGGTTTTAGTATATTTATAGAATTGTGCTACCCCACCACGATCTAACTTTGGAACATCTCCATCATCCCTAAAAGAAACCTTATGCCCACTAACAATCACTCTCGATTGCTCCCTCTTCCCCACCCCAAACTCTGGGCAATTACTAAACTATTTTCTGTCTCCACATTTTTGCCTGTTCTGGTCATTGCATATAAATGGGATCGCACGATGTATGATTACTTGTAAATGACCTTTTTAACTTAGTCTTTAAGGTTCATCCATGCAATAGCATGTTTCAGGGCTCCATTTCATAGAAACTCAACTGATTATCTTTTAAAGAGATTCACCTGAGTATCTTTGCGTTTCCCTCCCTCTTTGAGGGCTACTGCTTTAGAGATTTTGATAAGGAAAAACAATCACCATTCACACCGATTTTCATTCCTTTAAGCAGATGCACATTTCAATCTGATACCATTTTCCTTTTGTTTAAAGGATTTTGTTTGTTTCTTGTACTGCAAGCCTGCTGGTAGTAAGTTTTTTCAGAATTTTATATATTTTTAAGTCTTTGTTTCCCCTTCATTTTTGAAAGATATTTTCACGGGATATAGAATTCTGATTTGACACTTTTTTTTGTTCATAAAGATGTTGTTTCCTGTCTTCCACCTTGCATTGTTACTTATATCAAGTTTGTTATCCTTTTTTTGTTCCTCTACATGTAGTGTGTCTTTTTTTC